TTTTTTTTGTTGCAGTTGTCATTGTTTTAGCTGCCCAAGGCTGGGTTCAAACCTACAAGCGTCAGTGTATGTGGATGGCACCCTACCCATTGAGCTATGGGTCCCTGCCCTAGGAGGAATCAAAGTTTTGAACCTGTTCTTAAAATTTTTCTTGGGTCATAGGTAAATGATTAAATGTTTTTCTTGCTATTTTGAAACAGCATCGTCGTCCACATTTAATTGATATATTGGTTATAAATTAAATTAAGAAAATTTGTAGTAAGAGGGAAAGCCTGAGCTTTAAGATTCCTAAAAGAATAGAGTGAACATTTTGAAGAATACATGAAAATAGGTCTTAAAACCAATCTTCTAATTCTAGGTCATTTCTGTCAACTTGTAACCATAAAGCTTATTGTCTGATTTTATCAAATGTGTTTCTACTTCTGTAGAGGTATTTATATAAGTACAGCACGAGGAGTTGACTATAATACAAACACCTCCTTGTTCTGCTAAAATATAGTCAAGAGCCATGTTATCAAGAACTACTTGGGCTAAAGAATGTAAGGATTTCTGTTGTGCAGTTATTGCTAATGCAGTTTTATTCGCAATAATTTTCAAAATTATAGGTTGAGAAGCACATGTTTCTGGGCTTCCACTCCCCACCAGGGAAGTAGGGTGTACCCCAAAATAGTCATCCCCATCTGGGATTCCCCCTGGAAGATACTATTTTGGGGCTTGCCAGATGGAGTCTCTATCTAAAATTCTCCTAGTTATTCTTGAAAGCACTTTTAGGGAACCAGTCCAGGGAGCTATTTCACATTTATTATGAACTGAGAAAGGGATGGATAGAAATTCTAACAAACAAGTGCCCTCCATTGCACAGCTGTTTGAATAATCATAAGCCCAACGGGGTCTTCTTTTCCTTCACAAAGATATATTCAAGGGGTGCACAAAAGGTACCTGCTCCTGTCTGAAGGTGTGTAGAGTCATAAGGGGTGGGGTAGTAGAATTAGGAAGAGAAATTTCAACAGGAATTCAGGCAGCTGTCAGAGCTGCAACCACAGCTGAAGCTGTTGTCATGGTTGCCCTAAGGTCAAATTTCATCATGGGCAATTCCTTCCAATGGCAAGATGGATTTCTTAGGTCCTACTTGTTTTTCCCCAATTTTGAAAACTTCTTCTCTCTGCACTAGAACCTTACATTTAACATTGTCTGGCTTGTTTTGATACAAAAGCATACAAGACTGTGTATGCTTTTGGGATTTCATCCCATTTTCCAATACAGTGACAAAACAAATCCAATTGGAGTATAGCATTATATTTCAGTAATCCATTAACAGGCCATATTTCTCCAGACCCAAGTGTACTTGGGCCAGACAGTATTATGCAAATACATTAATTCCTTTTTTTTTCATAGACTTATAACTGTATTCAGACCAGTTTTGAAGGATGCAATCCAAAGGGCTATATTCAGGAACCAAATTATTACTTTCCATAACTACACACAGACAGTCAACACTCACATTCCAAATCAGATGGACTGCAGTACCAACAAATAAACCAAAAAAATGCCAAACACAAACAATCAGAGGTATTTCTCTCCAGGTAGTTGAGGCTTCCAACCCAAATCTGATTTCTTCTGAAACTCACTGGAGAGAAGAGCTCAGAAGTCCTGTTCTCCCAGATGGACAAGGTCTCTGGCCCAAATGGGAATCTCGAGGAGAATCCCCTAATAGAGGGAGGAACCTGGAGGTCCTGCTCTCCCAGGTGGCCAGGCCTACAGCCCAAGTGGGAGTCTCAGAGAAACCCTAAATGGAGAGAGGAGTCCACTGTGCAATACCTTCAAACAACACGCCTGTCCAGATGCAAATGCCAAAATCTAAAGATTGAGGTCTATTCTTCTCTGACAATCAGAGATGTGTTTGGAGCTGGAGACAGCAAAGCTGGTGGGAAAAGTCAAAATGAACCTCTGGCAAAACTCAGCCAGGCAGCTGCTAGAGATGCCTTGAAAACCCCCTCCATTCCACAGCCACCAAGCCACAAGCAATGAATCTCAGACCAGGAAGAAAATGAAGGATAATAGCTAGGAGATTCAGTGGGAGTAAAGAAAGAAGTTCTGAGTCGTAAGTCTGAACAAGGTTCAGGAAATAATATAAGAAATAAATGAAAATCCATCAGTCTTCCTAGAAAGGATTATGGAGACTTATCAGAAGTATACTGACATAGATCCAGAAAATCGTGATAATTCAAGACTAATTAACACGACCTTTGTTAGCCAAGGTAGGCCTGATAATCTAGCAAAACAAGTTACAGAAGTTAGAAGGGGTTTTCACTTTACCCATATCTTATTTAGCTGATGTAGCTTATAAGGTCTTTATAAACCAGTAGCTGGCTAAAGAACAACAGACAAAGCTGTTGGTAGCAGTTATGAGAAAAAAACCCTAAGGCAGCGGTTCTTAACCTGTGGGTTACGACCCCTTTGGGGGTCTCCTGCATATCAGATATTTACATTACAATTCTTAACAGTAGCAAAATTACAGTTATGAAGTAGCAATGAAAATAATTTTATGGTTGGGGGTCACCATAACATGAGGAACTGTATTAAAGGGTCACTGCATTAGGAAGGTTGAGAACCACTGCCTTAAGGGGTCCCCTTGACGGAAAACACTTCCCCTCAAAAGGAAAAATTCCCTTCAAAAGGGACCAATGTTCCTATTGCAAGGAAAAGAAGAAGGACTGTCCTAAGTTACAGAAAAGGAATTATGAAGAATTACTATACAATAGATGGGACTAAATGCAGAAGATACAGAATTATAGGACCCTAGGGCTCCTCAGAATCAATGGGAATCACAGTCAGTGATTAATATCTCCCACAAAGATCCAGGGTAACCATAAAAGTGGGAGAAAACATGATTTATTTCCTGACTGATACTGGTACAAGTTTTAAACCTAAAATTGGCTAAGCTTACTAAAGACTCAAGGCTGGTAACTGAGTATCTGAGAAATCCTCCCCAAAATACTTTCTCCAACCATTGGACTGTGCAATCAGAAATTCGTCCCTGGCACACAGCTTTCTGTACATGCCTGAACACCCTCTTCCACTACTGGGTTGGGATCTTCTCCCTAAATTACAGGCTCAAGTAACTTTCAGAATAAACAGTTGCATATCACGGTATGCCCAAAGCATGCCTTTCTTACAAGCTACCCTGCCCACCCCCTTGGATGAACCTGTTGAAGTCCTCAGTCAATTCAACCTTGCAGTATGAGCTACAGGAGCATCATACTGGAAGGGTACTTGTGGACCCTGTTAAAGATAAAATGGGAAGTTCCCTTCCATCTCAAACCCCTCAAAAGTGAACCCCCTTTTGTGGATTTAACACCCCTACCCCTAGGATATATAGCGGGGGTTAGCCCCAGTAGATAGCATCTTTAAACGCCAATGTCCTCATCTATTAAGAGAGTAACATAGACCTCACAGGTTTAGTAAGGATAAAATAAGATCCTGGATGTGGAACTGTTAACAGGGAAGAACCTTGGGTCCTTCAAGTTAAATGTGACCTTCAGGTATTTTTTATCCAGCACAGTGAACACCCTCCAGTTTGCACTATCCCTCCCACTCCCATTATTAATCTGTCTTAAAGTCTTGTACTTTTTCCTTTTAATATCTTTCCCTATAGTTTTCATAAGAAAGTTATAACCTAACTATAGCCTAAGACTATGGGGAGGGGGAGGGGAAGGAGGTGGATGGGTGGAGGGTGATTGAAGGGATCACCTCTGTGGTTTATCTTACAAGGGTACAAGTGAATCTTTCTGAAAGTAGAATATAAACGTCTTAACACAGTAACTGGGAAAATGACATGAAGGCTATGTTAACCAGTTTGATGAAAATATTTCAAATTGTATATGAAAACAGCACACTGTACCCCATGATTGCATTAATGTACACAGCTATCATTTAATAAAAAAATTCCCACCAAATTCAGATATTCATCCTGTTGTTGTTTACATTTAATGACATGATATGAACATATGTGTATAGATATACATGTACTTGTCCACTAAGACTTTGGTATACATCAGAACCACCTGGGAGCTTGTTTAAAATGGAGACTTTGGCACCCTACTCTGTGGGTCTGGAGAATAGGGGCCAGAGGTCCTATATTCTCAAACTCCCCTCAGATGTTTTTATACAGATGGCACTCATACTCTTTGAAAAACATTAGGACATACATTCTAAAAATATAAGATGTTAAATTATCAGTATGACCATTCCTTATTGGCTGTGGGAAAGAAAAAAATAACTGTCAAGGAAAACTACAATTTTGAGTCCAGATAACTAGGAGAGAAAAGGTAATATTAACAAAAAATAAGGAGGTAGAAGAGGAAGATAATGGAGCATAGACTGGTTTTTAAACTGCTTTATTAATTTCATATTAGGAAAAGAATATTTTCCTAAAAAGGGTGAAAATGCCAAGCTGACAGAAACTTTCAGAATGTCACAAAATAGTCAATTAAAACTCATCGAATGGAAACACCAGAAGGCTTACAGAAAAAGTAAATCACAAAAATACAGGTTTGTAAAGCAGTGGCATTATTAACCTAAAGGAAAACCTTAAGATTCAAGGTATGAGGCAAAAGTCATAATGATTGTCAGGTTCAGGAGTTTGGAATCGCATATAGTTCCTCACCTGCTGCTCCTTAGTTTTTCTCTTGATTTCCATCATCTGCCCTACAAACTTTTCTGCATTATCTCCTGCTTCATTGTAATCAACATGCTTATTAGGCATACCCCATCGAAAATTAGGGACCAGTCGCCAAACCCGCCCCCGTCTGACAGTTGTAACAGGCTTCCGGCCTTCACCCCCTCCCAAATAGCGGGGTTCCTCTTCATTCTGCACGGTGGCCTGATCTCCTCCTTCATTTTCTTGTTTGCTATTTTCCATGTTGAGATTTTTTACTTGTTCCATTTTGGACTCCATTACTCCTAGGAGACAAGAGAGAAATGGTAGACTGATCAGCACCGAGGACAGAGGCCCTACTATGCACCTTTCAAAATTTGAGTCCTGGATTTCAAAGGCCTTTTTAGAATTTCATTTTCCCCACCTGAGAGGCCCTGCTGCGCCCTCTAGGGAACCCTCAGTCCGAGCCCCTCCTTCCCGCAAAGCCCACCATTTTCCGTGCAGAAAATTCCAGGCCTCTTCAGGCACCAAAATGGAGGACAAAGATGACTGAGAGGGGATGTCATGGGAGTGTTGGGGCGAAGGGGTAGGGGTCTCACAGTGGGCTTTCGGCACATTCCTACCCCAGCCCCACTACCGTCCCCGTACCCACCTGGGCCTATCCTCGCAGTCTCCTCCTCCTCCGGATTCTCGCCGCGACACTTAGCCCCGGAGACCTGCGGACTGCCGGGATAGAGGCGGGGGCTGCTGCACCCGAGTTCTCTGGGGCCCTTCCCCACCCCGGGTCCTCTTAACCGCCCTCTCCTAGTGTCTCCCGCCCCCAATCGCCCGTACCAGCTCTGACCACCATTTTCTGCATCAAGAAGGACGGGGGCGGGGCAGGGGTGTTGGAAAAGCTTGCGCCGCTGGCGAGGGCGGGTGTTTCCAAAGGGTCAATAATTCTGGACCACCTGCTCCCGCGGGGCCGTGTACCCCTCGGCACACAAAAGGCTTGCCATCTTCTGGGGGACTGCAGTCGCCAACCGTCTGCGTCAGACCCCCAAGGATGGGGGTCTGAAAGGCCGGGCCCTCTCCCAAGCCAACTCCAGGGACTCCCTCCGGGGCCCTTACTTGCCACAAGCAGCCTCTTACTTTCGGGGTCGCCCTTGGCCCGCCGCCCTCAGGACCACCAGGAGCAGGTCCTCCTCCGAGAAGTGAGCAAGTAGCTACCCGTCCGTTGCCGGACCTTGGCGCGCAAGTCAGAGCTGGTCGGTCACGTGAGGCTGTCGTCACCGCCCTCAGCCCCGCCCTCAGGCCTTGGTCCCTCCTGCAGTCCTGAGTCAGGCTGGGCTTGTTAGCCTTGCTGTCCTGAATCGTTTTTTTTTTTTTTTTGCAGTTTTGGCCGAGGCGAGCTTGAACCCGCCACCCCCAGCATATGGGGCCGGCACCCTACTCCTTGAGCCACAGGCGCTGCTGGTTGTCCTGAATCCTCATTCCAAGTCCCTTTGAACATCCCGGGCCTTGGCCCTCTCACTCTCCTTTGTTTGTATATTCCTGGGCCTTTCTCTGCCTGTCCTGGAAGGGAAATACATTCTCAGGGGGATGTTGGCCATTCTCAATTCTCTGGTAACTTGCCTCTCCCTCTCCTCTGCTCTCAGAGAAGGGTCCCTCTGCTATCTGTTTCTACAGACACCAGGACCTGTGGGCAGAATTTTTTTTTTTTTTTTGAGACAGAGTCTCACTTTATCGCCCTCGGTAGCGTGCTATGGTGTCACAGCTCACAGCAACCTCCAACTCCTGGGCTTAGGCAATTCTCTTGCCTCAGCCTCCCGAGTAGCTGGGACTTACAGGTGCCCGCCACAACGCCTGGCTATTTTTTGCTTGAACATGCCACCATGGGGCCAGCGCCCTACCCACTGAGCCACAGTCACTGCCCTATGGGCAGAATTTAAGGGAATGCAAAAACCCTCAATAGTCAAGAAAAAGAAAAATGTAATGCAGTATTATTTTTTAATGCAAGAATGAATATGATGAACAAGATATCAACATTTTAAATAAAGAGAGCATCTGCCCCATGATCCCCACTGCCAAATGGTGGTCCTTGCTACCTTGCAGAAAATGGTGAGAAAATGCTATTTCCTTCTCTAGACCAGAATGCCTGAGGGAACAGGAAATGAGTCCAAGAGAGTGGATTTTTTTCTAATTCTTATACTTTTTTGGTTCCTGTTTCTTGTTTTAAAAATGCACTCCTTATTGTTTTTGTTAACTTTATTTTGACTTTCTATTATGGAAAATTTCAAACATATGCATAAATAGAATAATAAAATACAAACCTCATCTTTATCCTACCCACTTCACACCCTTAAAGACTATTTTTCAACAAATTCTACACACTTAAAACCTTTGACATAAATATTTCAATGTGAATATATACAAGATAAGGGTTCTCCTTATATAACCACAAAACTCTTATGTCTAATAATTAACAATTTCTTAATATCATTTTATGTTCAGTCTGTGTTGACATTGCCAATTTTGTCATAGTTTAAATTTGTTTGAATCAAGAGCTAAATAAGATCCACACATTTTTATTGGTTGCTATATTTCCCAATTTTCTTTCTTTCTTTCTTTCTTTCT